TATCAAGAAAATGTTGAATTCCTATGTTTTTGCCATTTATTGGTGAAGTGAACTTATGGCCCATTTTTGGTCACCAAATGATAGACTTTATTATTCTGACGGATAAACAGTTCTCCCATAAGAAGCCAATGCCTTTCAAAAGAGAATATTCTATTTTTATCACTAGTTTTCTATATTTCATGATTAAACTCAAAGAAAAAATTGTGTTTCACAAAGATTTTCATCGATTGTCTGAACCATACACCATATACTAGTATATAGTATATAGAAAGCATTCAATGAGCAGATAAAGTCATTCACTATAATAGAGAGAAACCCGTTTTCAATGCATTTATATATAATATTTATACCCAAGAATTATATTTAGTTTAGGCAAACATTTCTGGCTATTAATCACTTTCGATATAAATAAAAGTCACGTTACTATTGAATTGAAAATTTTAAATCCACACAAAATGCTAACTTATAATGAAAACTAATAGCTATTAAAATGAACCATAGGTTACAACAAGGATGAGGTGGGGGCGCACCAGAAGATCTCGGCCAATTTGGGCGATAATGTGATGTTCAACTGTGCCTTTGACTTTCCCGACAAAATAGAGGTGCCGTATGTGATCCACTGGCAGAAAAAGGGCCTCAAGATACCCATCTACATCTGGTACGACGGCTACCCGCCCCACTTGGGCGAGGGCTACGAGGGTCGGGTCACTCTATCGCACCCGAAGGAGGCCTCACTGAACCTGACGAACGTACGCGAGTCGGACCAGGGATGGTATGAATGCAAAGTGTATTTCCTGAACCAACCCAATGAACAGCTCAAAAACGGCACTTTCGTTTTGCTTGACGTTCACGGTTTGTAAACTCTATTGACATCTCCATCGCTAATACTTATCCATTATTTATGTTATGTGAAACAATAAGAGTCACAAATGCTTAAAGTTTTTGATAAAACTATTACAATATATCATAAATGACCCGAACTTTAAGTCCGCACCGAAAGCCTCTCTATATTTCTTTTGGACTCATAATTAATATGAGGTTTAAAACTGATGTGAATATTGAATGAGTCTCTGATTAGATCTCTCTCTCTCTCTCTCTCTCTCTCTCTCTTTAAATGTGTTTATATTCTTATCAGACTTTACTCTTCCAGATATCCTTTGAATACAGAGTTTACGCACAATAATCCCATAAATGAATTTAGTATTGATTTTATTCACTCAATTCACTACAGTAAGTGCTAGACAAATTGTAATTTTATGCAAATGTTTGACAAAATTTAAGGTTTTGTTGTGTTTTATTTGTGTTAATTTGAAGTCATTATACGGTTTATAACAAGGATTGTAGCATTTTATCTTAACTGTTTGTACTATACGTTCAGAATTAGGAATTGTGTATTATATAAAAATATATTTATGTATTATATTACAGTGAAGTGTACAATATTTTATTTTTAAAAATAATAAATACTGTATAATGCATTGAATACTAGATATAATATATCAGTACAGTAATAAAGTTGTAAAATATATTCACATTTTTACATTTGTGTGATATGTAATTCATTTGTTTAATTCATTAACTAATCAAAAATACTTTCACATAATATCAGAATCTAATCAATTCATTGGTTTGTGTGTTGTGTTGCAATGCTTTGTATTTTGAATACTAATTAATAATTTAAGTTAATTATACTTTTACTCTTTATTAAAAGAAACTATTGAATTCAAAATTGAATATTTCAAAACTATAATTTTCAAATATGAATTTAAATGTATTCATTATAATAATTAATATAACATTTGATTTACATTTTAATTATTTAATTTCAAGAATAGTACTCAGTAGAACTTTATTTTATAAATATTTTAAAATAAAATACATTATATTATAAATAATTAATTAATGAGATTCTCCCTGAAAATAAGTTATTATATTGTGATTTAGTTAACCATAAAATTTTATCCGTTTTTACAAATGCATTTTTATCTTAGAGTTAATCCTTTAAGTGTTTTACTTGTGTTTAAGTCCAAGATTTTGTTATTTATATGTGTGTATTGGATACAAGAATTGTAATAAACGACACCATAAACACCGAATCTCTTTCTCAGTCTCTCATAAGATGTGAAATTCATTATTGTTTGAAGAACTGCTTAACTCTCTCTCTCTAATCAGAGACTCATTCAATATTCACATCAGTTTTAAACCTCATATTAATCTCTCTCTCTCTCTCATCCTTTGTTTGTGCGATAATGTAGTGAAAAGACTACTTTTTGTACTTACTGTAGTGGACACACATTGCGAACACAATATCTGTTCAAATGATATGATTTGAGACATAATTTCAAACGAGACGGATATAACTTTTACTTAATTCCACTCTTATCTCAAACATAATATCTTTATTATTACTATTTCTGTACTCCATTTCCAAATGAGTACTGTTTTCCAGAATCAGATATAAATCATAATTGTATTAAATTCTCTCATTTATAGTAAAATTCAATTATACAAATATTCCAAATAATATTATCATTAAATCAAATTATATTATTTGTATTACAAGAGAATGACATTTTAATTTAATTCTAACTTGTAAGGGAAAGTTTATAATTTATTTTAATTCCTACATAAAATTGATTTAATAACTGATTGTTTAGGTCTTTACCGGAAATAAGACAATATAATACAATCAAATGCATGTTTGAAAATTATATAATGTAGACATATTTTGTTTTACTAGATTTATATCAAATATTAAACTAATTATATGACTGATTGTGTGGACAGCTCCGCCACATTTCGATGAGAAGCCACCAGAATATGCATACGTGAGGGTCGGGGAGACACTGTTACTCAACTGTAAGGCTGACGGAACTCCAGTGCCAACAGTGGTCTGGCAGAAAGTGAGTCCATTTCCCGCATCCAATGCCACAAATGCCAATCAATAGGACACATATATTTGCTTCACTAATGACTCGCTTTGAAATATTGCTCACAAAACCCAAACCACAGAACAATCTGCCGATTGAGACAAATGCAAACATTCAGGTCTTGGGAACTGAACTGAAAGTCGATAACTTGAGTGAAGGCGATATCGGGGACTACATGTGTGTGGCGAAGAACAGACAGGGATCGGTCACCGCCAACACCAAAGTGATTGTGGCCGGACCTGCCGTCATATCGGTGCCGCCCAAGAACACCACTAAACTCGAGGGCGATAAAGTGGAGCTCACGTGCGAGGCTAAGGCCCTGCCCGCCAATGTCACCTATAGGTGGTTCCATAAGGGCATCGAGATATCGCAGTTGTCGTGGCTCATCACCCGGACGGTCGTCAAAAGGGACGGCACTCTACTCATTAACCCCACCTCTGCTGAGGACTCGGGAAAGTTCACGTGCGACGCCTTCAATGGTATCGGCGATCCCGACACTGCCAGCGCCTACCTATCCATTGAATGTAATGTTTGTTTTGTTGATTCATTTGATACGGAAATGCAAACCTTTTACTTGTAATCAATTCACTAAACACTGATTGAACTCAATATTTACTGGCCGTCCCCACAGTCCCGGCGCGCGTCACGTACTCGCCTTCAATGCAATACTTGCCGTTTGGGTTGTCAGGAGTGGTCCGGTGTTTCATTCAGGCCTCACCGCCCTTCCAGTTCGTCACGTGGACTCGCGATCGGCGGCCCTTCGACCCCAGCGAACATCCCGGCGTCAAAGCCCTGACCAACGGCTCACTACTGTTCGATAGGGTCACTCACGAACATCAGGGCAGATACCGGTGCACCCCATACAACCTTCACGGCACGGCCGGCACCTCATCCGTTATGGAGGTCTTCGTCAGGGGTTAGTGTCTCTCGCGACTCGTATTTGAGTTTATTTGCGAAAACTATTTATTCAAAAACCCAATCAAACAAATGAATCAAAAGGAAAGAGAGTTTTTTCGCATCAAATACAAACTCAACTCAAAATATATCTATCTTTTGGTTTTCATTCAATTCTGACCTTATTTTTCCGAAACTCTCTTTTATTTTATTCTTATATTTAGTTTTAGTTTTTTGTTTTGTTTATCTACTCTAATGTTCTTCATTTTCCATTCATCACAAATGATATGCTCCTCTATCCCCCCTTAAAATACTACATCATTATACATACATACATACAGAATATTCTGTATATATAAGAATATATAAAATTTATATCGCATTGTGTTATATAACTATTTGGAGTTCTTTACAATACTATAGAGTAATATATTTTATTCTCAATTTTATGTTATATAACTTAAACGATAGCTTATATACTGAACGATATTCTCAAACTATATCAGTAATAGACATACATTTGAATCAAATACACTAATGATTGCCTTTAAGGTTGTCATCAAAATTTTCGCCAAAATTAATCATTTGATTGAATGGACTTTTTAATATAGTGGCGAACAGATTGTCATTTTACAGTAAAATATATTTTAAACAATTTCCTCAATCATGTCTATTATGGTCTAGAAATACAGCGTTTGGCTCCACGAAATTCATCAGATATTTTTGCTATAAATAAATACATTTCGTAGTTTAGCTCTTATAATAAATTTGATAATTTCTGTGTAAAAAGCACTTATTTATTGAAAAATCGATTATTTAGTAAATAAAGTCAGCGTTCAGTGGATCGGAAAAAGTCGACTCAAAAAACAAACAAAAAAATTACTTCTTTTCCATTAAATTCTTAGAGCGAGACTTCCTCTCAATGATATGAAAACAGATTTTTTTCTCCCAAAACATTACAATTTGCTTCTTATCAGATAAAAGCAAAACATTTTTCACAAACATTTCTCTGTAGCCATCACTTCGATTATATGAGAGAAATATAGTTTTCCTATTATCCCATAGTATTGACTCGTTTTACAAATTTATATACAAAAGCAAACACAAGAATTGAATGAATAAAATAAAAGTCAAACACATGTTTGATATGAAAAATTTTGTACAAATAATGGGTTAATGGTGTTTTTTATATTTCTTGTGCTCCACACATGCATCCCATTCCCCAATCGACATCCAGAACCTCCTATATTCACACTAAAGCCACTCGAGTACTACCAGAAACCTATAGGCAGTGAAGTGGTGATGGCGTGCGATGGCGTCGGGAACCCAAAGCCGGTCATCACGTGGAGGAAAGTAAGTCCTTTTGCTTTTGAACTTCAATTTTCACGTCTCTATTCAAACCTATGAATGGCATGTCTTCAGCCCTACCACTGAGTTATATACGGGTATAGTCTCGTCAGTGTTGAGTGAGTTTTTGGCGAAACTGATTTGCCATCCCTTCCATAAGGCATACCATTCATCAGCGGATAATCTTCATGAAGAGGATTGCGGTTTATATGATAGCAGAGTAACAGTGAATGGCTTTTGTGTGAAACACCAAAACAGACGAGTGATAAATGAATGGCAACTAAATGTGATGATTAGGAGGAATCAAATAAGTTTTGCTTTCATATAGATTTGGGTCATATCTCTCGTATCGATCTCTATTTGCAGCAAATAATTACTTTCCACACAATTCACTACATTTCCATACTATTTATTCATTGTCTACATATCTATTATTAGTTTCATTGAGTTATGCTTTATAAACTAAACGGCATTTAATCTGTTATATGCTTTTCAATAAGTATCATTTGTATTTAACAAAATCTTTTTGATAAAATATAAGTTCAAAGCTTTTTTTTTATATTATAGAAAAATATTTATTAAGCTTTTTAAATAGATTAAGAATTCTTTGAAAACATTAAAAATAATTTAAAATCAAATCCTTAATAACGACCACATTATACATTAAGCAAATGCATTGAATTAATTGAAATTCTATAAAAATAGTATTCTTATAATAAGAGCCAAAAATTTTATTGTTTGCCAATCGATTTGTACTGTATTTAAATAAATATAAAGTCATAAAAACAGTGGAGAATATAATTTATAAATTTCTGAACAAAAGATTTGTTTCGATTATCACAAGAAAATCGATTTTGCATTAAAAGGGATGAATGAAGGCTGGGATGAAGTGCACGGTAGAGGACATACATCTTATTGTTAATTCCTGTCCACAAAATAAATGAATTTGCGCCCAAAGAAAGCGCTGAATTAAAAATCTGTTCAAACCATTTGCTTAATATATAATTATTGGTCCCAATAAATCAATTGTTATCTAATTTGTTGCCCAACTGTTGGGAGCAAAGTATTCGCGAAGACTTTAAATAGTATTAAAAGATCTTAACGTTTCAGTCGTTCATTCATTCATCTCTTAATCTCCTTTTCCTCTTAAACATTGAGAACAAAGAAAATTTAAAATTAATGACAAAATGCAATAAATAATCGTCTAATGGCTGTGACATTAAATTTAATGGCAATATATCTAATTTTGAAGCATTAATGCCAGTGTTTTGCTAATATATCAAACGTTATGTTATTTTAAGGCCGACGGCTCTAAACTACCCAAAGACCGGGCGTTCATTCGTTCCGGTAATTTGACTGTAAAATCAATCAAAAAGGAGGACCATGGTCAGTACGAGTGTGTCTTAGACAACATCATCGCCACATTAGTCACCACCACCACTCTCCTCGTCGATAGTGAGTGTCTCTTCCCCATGAAATAATCATTACATGCCTTTCCCTTTCTCGACGGATACATATCTTTTCATTACATACATGTATCCATACGGCTATTATATCGCACGATATATCATACGGACTCATCATAAATAACTATGTATTTTAAGGTACGACACCTCACCCGCCGACTAATGTATCGGTAAACTCGAGTGCCTTTGCCGCGACAGTCACCTGGGTGCCTAATTATGATGGAGGACATCAGCAGTTCTTCAGCATTCGGTACGACCCCACAGCCTATTTGCACAACCATTTTGTTGACAACACTAATATTAAATCAATATTTGTTTGAAAAATTGTGTTTTTTGTCTTGTTTTATAACTCCGCTATTTCTTTGACAACAAAATTAATTTTATTTTCTTTTTTTGTTTTGTTGTCTTAAAAGCTATCGATTTTCCGATGAGGACGAGACGGGATGGAAGACCATACGAGTGCAGCCGCCAGAGACCACATCCACCTTCACTATATATAACCTGCAAACAGATACTGAATATGACTTTCAAGTGTTTGCGTCCAATTCGCTGGGCAGAGGAATGGGATCTAATATAGTCAGAGCCCGCACTAAAAGTGAGCAAACATTTGATATATTTTTAGTTCATTTATTGTAACGTATGACTAATTTCTTGTTTTACATTATTGCTGCAAAAGGTTGGGATTCAGTAAATGGTCAGTTTCCTACCGATGCCTATGGTTCCACTTATATGCCTATACAAGAGCCTGGTATTTTATTTAGTTCTTAACTATTACTATTAACGTATAATTAATAATTTTTATATTTTAGTTGAAATCACAAGACCTGGAACTACAGACACATTGGATGAGCCAACGATTCCGTCGACAACATCAGCACCGGTCGGTCCAAAGCCAGGGCCGGCGCGCAACGTAACCATCGAAAAGATGGCTCAGGGATGGGTTGTTTCATGGCTGCCACCCATTGAAACAGCCATTCCTGTCTCGTATTATACGGTTGAGTATAAAGAAGGAGACGAAGGGAAATGGATTACATCGGAGTCCATATCGAAAGAGACCGCTTATTTAAGTGAGTTTGTGATGACAGGGAATGGGAGCTATAAATTGAAATGTCGTTGATTATTGTGTAATTGTAGTCAAGGACCTGCATCAGGGGCTTAAATATACGATTCGTGTGAACGCATATTCAATACTCGGAATCGGAGATGTGGGACAACCACTTGAATATAAAATACCCGGTAATACAATCATAGCATTTGGCAAAAAATAAAATAAAAGGCAATAAAAGAGAAAGTCTTACAAAATAAATGTCATTATAATCAGGTCCGGAAGGAATACGAGGTCCACGGGCTATAACAGCCGGTATAGTAGGGAGTGTCCTCTTCTTCGTGGCGGCCCTTATATTAAGCGTCTGTACGGTTAAGATCTGTAATAAAAGGAAACGACGAAAGTTAGAAAAGGGTTTGAAATTTTAGTCCTTGGTCACAAATATGTTTATTAACTCATTATTACCGGTTTATTAATAGCCTATATGATGGTCACCTGTCCTGTAATGGATGGCGTGAATGGTAGTCATTCTCACGGCGGAAGTCCAGTGCCTCTCAAACAGTAAGCCTTTAAATGAGATGAAATATGCTATGAAATGATTTAATGAATATTTCGTTTGAAATGCTTTTTATTCAAATTGCTATCAATTGACTGCATTCCAGATCCACACCAAACAATGTTAAAGGTATATTGATTTTCATATAAATTCTTGAATTTGATTTCAAATTTGATTTCTGCATTTATTATGAATGAAATGAAATAAAGATAAAAAAAAGTTGGAAATATAATAAACAAAACATTTAAATTGTGAATCTATTTTTTCTCTTGGACTGCAGCTCATAATGATTTGATTTGCAGTTTAGGAACGCCAGGGAGTCTTCTCGGTATGAATAATGCAATTGAATTGAAAATATGTTGTAAATTATATTAACTATTATTTGGTTGAACACAGACATGAGAAAAGCCGAATATCAAGTCTGAGTGCAATTATATGATTCTGTAAAAAGCATTGTTGGCCTAAACATAACACTATCGACACAATTGTCTTCAACAGAATTGATATATTCAGACGATTGCGAACCCAAATGAATTGAAATGAGTGCTCATTAAGATTACTCGTCCGTCCACTTGAATAATATAAAAGGAAATCAAATGTCAGCCCTTTTTCCCAACTCTTTTGTTATTCTGTTATTCATCTCTCATTTGTTAACGAATTCTAACGGAATATCAATTATGTTATACTTTGTTACTATTCATAACTCATATTACCATTCCTATGGTCTCTCTCTCTCTCTCTCTCTCTCTCTCTATCCATATAATGTTCTCAATTAACATCTGATTAACGAAGTCCTACCCATCCATCCCTTCCAATTGCAGCTATAGTTATAAATATATTTTGGGACTATATTTTGTTTTTATATTTACGTTATATAAAACAAATGACTTAACAAAATTATGATAAATTATTTTTTAAGTTTATTTTGTTTTTGTTGTTTAAATTTATGTTTGATTTTGTTACACGTTTAATTTATTGAGTATATAAATTAATAATCAATTATTTTAAAGCCATTTAAAATAATAATTTATAGAGAATTATTTATTGATTTTAAACTGATGAATTAATTTATTAAGAATTTTTAAGGATTTACCCAGTATTCATTTAGAGTAAAAACTTGTTTTTTGGATGAAATATAATTATTTTTATTTTAGACGTATATTAGGGATAATTATTAAAATAAAATCAAAATCCATCCAAAAATTATTTTAAACAAAATATAACAATTACTAATAAAAATAAATTATGAAACTCTCAAAACTCTGTGTTTAAATGTGTAAATATAGAGATACTGTCAAGACTTTAATATTTATTCATTCTATGCATTTCATCAATATTAGCAAAAATCCGAAATTAATTTTAATTATATCATATCTCCATACAATATATCCACAAAATAACTATGATTTTATCCTTATCTAAATTCAGTTTGATATCTTATTTATTATAATTATTGCACTTGAATTTAATTTCAATTGTAAACCTATTAAAGTTTGATTTGTCTAATAATTTTTGAGTCTTTGTTTCCATAAGAATAGAATTCAAAGTAATGGTAATCTTGTAATTAAAATATATGAATACTTTAAAGACAA